GAGAATGCGATGACCAATTCTTCAGACCTCGAAGCTTAGCTAAGGTGGCTTCTGCTCAAGTCGCGTGCGCACGCAGATCCCGGATGTGCAGGTGAGGAAGGCAGGGTTCGCGTCTCTGGCCGGCCCTTATTCGTGATTGCGGGATGAAGACAATGTAGGGAGCTCGCATAGCATGAGAAGGTCTAAGGAAAAAGGGCGGGGAGGGTATCGGCGGTTCATGGGTTTCGGGGGTTTAGGGTTTAGGGGTTTCGGGGGTTTGAGTGTTGCCGGCTTTTCTGTGATCTGGTAAGAGGCTGCTGCGGCGGAATGTCTCAGATCGGTCTCAATCCCATCTGTACATCCAACACATGTTGAGGCAAACTGCATCCCAAAAGCCAGTAAGAAGCAGTAGCCAAGACTCAAGCAAGAGAAGCTCTACAGACGCGAAAGTAACGTAAACCCTAAACTCTAAACCCTCTGAGCCCTGGGAGACTAAATCCTGACCATCAACCATGTAGGGCTGAGGGTTTTTATAACTACCAAGTGGAGCCCAATAGAACTACTCAACCCTAAACCCTAAACCCTAAACCCTAAACCCTAAACCCTATACCGAGAGCCTGGACCCAAACCTTTGAAAAATCTTCGGTGGCACCTTTGCCGACCGGCAGCGGGGAGGCCACATGGAAAACTGCCTCGCGCCACACGACAGGAGCAAATCCAATTGCGCAACACTACATCCCAAGACTTGCTGGTATTGCTGACTATTAGAGGTCGTTCGACGTCTGATCGTTACTAGTACTAGGTTGTCATTCACGCAACCGCTGCTAATCTAATTTCATGCTTGTCGTGCTGCTGCTGCTGTTGTTGCTGCGGCTGTTGCTGTTGCTGTTGCTGTTGCCATTGCTGTCGCTGCTGCTGTTGCTGTTCTATCCCAAACCGTTTAGAGTTTATGGGCTTATAGGGTTAACGGTTTAGGACCTGGACATCGCATCGTGGATCCAAAAATCATGGATCATGCCGCTTTCTGACTCGCTCCTCTCCAACTACACCGATAAAAGCTGCTTCGAGCTCCAAAGCAAAGTCTGTAGTTCTTAGCGCAAGTACCTATTCACCGTGGGCAATTTAGAGCGCTGCGGATCTCATGATGTGTAGCTATGAGGGCTTTGAAAGAATACCTTGCTCAAACAGAGTCCCTAAACCCTAAACCCTAAACCCTAAACCTTTATCTGGAAAGTCATGAAAGATCTGATGTCATAGAGGCCCGAATAGTCTCGTTGGTCCTGAGGGTTCATGATACATATGGGTGGTTGTCAAAATTAGGGTCCCTTTTGGGGTACCCTAAACAATAGGTGCCGTATTACAATAAGGACCCAAAAAGGGACCCTAATTTTGACAACCACCCATATAGTATTCAATACATATATACATATACCAAACCCATGTCCAATGATTATGAACGCCTCTATAGTAGACTAAAACCTATAACACCCTTATCGAAACCAGTTGAAAGAGCCTTGTGCACACTATACAAGCTTCGCTTTAAAGCCCTGAACCCTAAACATTAAACCTAAACCCTAAACCCTAAACCCTAAACCATCCTAAACACCTAGACCCCTACAGCCCAAACCTAAACCCCAAGTCTGGCTAAGGCTTCTCTTAGTTGCTGAGTTCACAAGCCCCAAAAAGTAAACACTAGGGTTTAGGGTTTAGGGTTAGGGTCGGTTCTATAAGGGGTCATATATTATCCCAAAAAGCGTAAAGTGTACTCACTCAGCTACTAAGTTCTATATTCGCGGAGAGCGATCTGCCCATCCCAAGCTGCAACAATGCCTGGCTCTATAGCCCCCTAAACCCTACCTGGGAATCCAAAAACCTTATATGCTACAATTCACGGGTTCATAAGCTGCCCTCTTTTGGGTTTTGCTCTCCCCTGTGGCCTTGCAGCCCTTCACTGCTTCGTCAAAGCTGCCAGGTGCCATCAAGTCTGCCTCAGGCAATCTAGGGCTTTCAGTCATCATATAGGGGCCTGGATAATTACCTATACTAGTTTTGGGGGGTCCTTACCATGATTATAGTATAATGGGCCCCAAAACCCTGTTCTAAGTGTGAAGGCCCCTACATTAGGGGCCAAGACTGGCCAAGACTGTGGCCTCGCTTCGGAGTTAGAGCCCCCTAAACCCTAAACCCGGACCCTAAACCCTAAACTCTAAACTCTAAACCCTAAACCCTAAACCCTAAACCGTCAGGGCTTTAGGGTTTGAGGGTCTAGGGTGTAGAGCTGTGCATAACCTCTAAACCCTCAACCCAAAACCCTTGGAGCTTAGGACCTCATGGTACGTTCAAGGTTAGGGTTTAGGGTTTGGGGTTTAGGGTTAAGGGTTTCGGGTTTAGGGGTTTAGGGTTTAGGGGTTTAGGGCTTTCGGGTTTAGGGCTTGTCTCGCACGCCTTAATTGATGTGGGTCGACTCGTGATTTCCCACGCGGCACAAGTTACGTGTTGCTGGCTGAGGGCCTGGGATTTGCATACACTGAAAGGAGACATCAAACATGTAAACCTAAACTTGAAGCCCGCAATGGCCTGCAAGCGCAAAGTTCTCAGTTCTGAAGCCGTCAAGCCGGAGGCGTGAGGCTCACAAGGCTAAAAGGGGCCTGCCTAATTTTGGGAAGCATGCATAGAGTAGGGTTAGCGTGTGTGTTCAGGGTCAAGGGCTTGGGGCTTAATGTAGGGGCCTTAAAAGTTGGAATAGGGTTTGGGGCCCTTTGTAGTACAATTATAATAAGGAGCCCCCAAAACCCCATTCTACGTATTTAGGCCCCTTTATTATAGGGTCTAGGGTGTACCAACCTGAAAAACCGATGCCCCACACCCTGACCTCGACGCCCTAAGACTCTGACCAGGCACCCAAGGCAGACAAACAGGGTTTAGGCTTCTAAGGTTCAGGGTTCTAGGGTTTCGGGTTTAGGCTTCTACAACGTAAGGGTTTAGGTTCAGGGTTCAGGGTTCAAGGCTTCGGGTATAGGCTTCTACAATTTTAGGGCCAATTTAGGCTTCGAGGTTCACACTTCAGAGAAAGCTGGGGCGCCGGGAAAAGGCGCAACCGATCTGCAGCTCCCTCCAGTGCCTAGGGCTGGAGGGCTTGGGAAACCGAGGATTCACACTTTTGGTGTTTAGGATTTAGGGTTTAGGATTTAGGGCGCGTTTGTGTATCATTTTAGAGATTCAGAAACAACGTGAAAAAAAGTACAAGTTTCGTTCAAGCTGGAGGTCAATCCAAAGGCATGATGCAAATGGTGCAGACGGTGTATACTTAACACAAGTAACCGGACTGTCCACTGTAAACCCTAAACCCTAAACCCTAAACCCTAAGCCCTAAGCCCTAAGCCCTAAACCCTAAACCTTAAGCCCTAAGCCCTAAACCCTAAGTCCTAAACACGAAACCCCTCTACCCCAGACTGCTCAAAGCAGGAGCCTGTAACCCTAAATCGTACCTTCAGCCCTAAACCCTACACGCAAAACCCGAAGACCCAACTCTCGCCAGCTGCGATGTCTTGCTGTACGATGATGCGAAACTAAGGCAGTGTGTGCATCCCAGCCGCTTCGAATGTGCATCAGCTCCCCCAGAATAGCGACTCCCCCTTCGTCAGCTTTCCCATAGAAATCGCATGCCCTGATCTACGGGGGCCCTTGGGGGAGCTGGAAGATATTCTGATATATTATAGGGTTTAGGGTCTAGGGCTTAGGTTTTTGAGGTTTAGAGTTTATGGTTCAACCAACAATTTTCAAGTTTCAGGTATAGTTAAACAGGCACTATGGATCGTAGTACTGGTCTTCCCTCCCGACCATTTCCGACCCCCACGGTGGAGACTTCGTAACTGTCGCAACCGCAACGACGACCGACGTGCCAACTGTGCCAGGTGGTTTCGCCTTTGATGTTGATAAGACTGCTGCTGCGCGACTCACGCTGTGGCTGCCACCGTCTCCACCACCACCACCGCCACCACCACCGCCCACCTCCACTCCCACCACCACCACGAGGGTTTCTGTGGCTATTACCTACCTGTACTGCTTGCACAACCTCAATTACCAACCCTATTGAAAGCATGGAAAATCTGCGATCTGGAAACAGAAACCCAAAAAGAAATCGAACTCCTTCTGCAGTGCAGTGATCAATTAAAGACATCCCATCTAGCATCAACGTCGAGGCACGTGCAGGTGCGCCACAGCCTCATGCTTGCTCGGGTCGCGCACCGTTCCATGCACCTGCAAGGTGCGCTTTGGGGTAACTTGTAGTTTGGCTTAAAGTGGTGTTTCGAAGTGGGGTGCACTGTTTAGAAGTGGATGCAATGGACAGTGGCAAGCCAGAATCAGAACAAAGGGACGTCTACTGCAATTGGTCTCAAGATTTTCCGGCAACAGGGCAGTGCAGCTAAACCTGTACAAGGTCGACAGCAGCACTAAGGAAGGCTTCCACCATGGCAAGCACGCTTGCAAGCCACATGGAAGCACCTGCACAAAGCCCCTGGGGCAGGAACATCTTCTATCATACAAAATTACATGCGATGAGGGTTCAGGCTTTAGGGCTGACAGGGCTTAGAGTTTATACGCTTTACTTCGTTACCTGCATATGCTTGTCTACATCGCCATTTTTCTACACAGGTGTTGCGGTCATTGTTCGCGTGAAATGACGCTTTTATCTGCAAGTAGGTTTGATATTCACTACCTCTACAGTTACAGCAAGTAAGAAAAGTACGGCGAGCTCAAACCTTGCACATGTAGGCAAGCACGCTTGCAAGTCCACATCGAACTGTCTGAGCAGGCCTGAATTCAGCAAGCCAGTGTGGTGGCACCGATAGTCTCCATTGTAGTTCCTTGTTTGGTTTAACCAAATAATCACGTACTGAGGATCTTATCAGGTAACCCCACAGAGACCATAGGTTGATCTGACAGGACTGACGAGCACACCGCAGTGACAAGCACACCTGCAAGTCGCGGTAGTGGCATCAGTCCATGACGGCGCGGGCCTACAGCGACCTCGTTCCGCGCCGCAGGGACTCCGAAAAGAGGGAGTCAGCTGGGATCCGCACTGTGATAAATGTCCTCTCAACTCGAACATTCATTCGCTCAGAGATCTCGTCCCAAGCTCTTGGGAGCTCTGCCTGCAATGCGGCCCTTGCGCGCGCAACGACACGGTCATTGCTGCGAATCGAAGAGATTGCAGCCTGAACCATACTTCCAAACTCCTCTTCCACGATCACATGAGATGAATAAAAGCGCCTGGTGCTGATGGCCTCCACAACGGCCAAGTAGTGCAGGGGCTTTGTGAAGATCTTGGCCGCAGAACCCTCAAGCACCACAGGAAAGCCTGCCTCCTGCAAGGAGCATGACATTCAGAGCTCAAGTAATATTTTGCATAAGGCGTATTATCGTGAATCACGAGGTCTTCGGATGGAGGGCTCAAGGTTTATGAAACCTGCAGATAGTCCTTCACTGCGTCCTTCATCGTCTATTTTCAACCCCAGTTCGCGCTTTACTTCTCATGCTGATTCCCCTCGCCTCCAGTGCATCGCGACACTCGCGCAGTTCGGGGCCTTCCAGCAGGGCCCTCCGAAATGCCTCCGGACTCCGAGCAAACTTGAGAATGACGACCTGCAGCTCTCGGTCCGATGCCCCCAGTGCAAGAAGATCGCTGGCTCGCTGCGCGTTGCCGTTGGCAGCCTCTGGCTGCCGGTGCAGAGCCGTTGCAGCTTCCATGCTGTCTTCGGGAATCGGAGTCGGCCCATCAAGCAAGACCCCGGCCTGCATGATGCAAGAGTCACAACAAATCAGCAAACTCAACATAGCAACCCGACGCACGGGCATCCTTACTACAATGACCCCGAATTCGTGTACAAGTCACCCTTACTTTCGGACACCTCCATTTCGTTGATCATGATGTCCAGCTCGCGCAAGGCGTCGACAGACTCGAGGCCAGAACCCTGCGAGAGACCTTCCGTCGTGCGAGCCCCGGAGTCGATATGCCCCAGGTCCCTGGCAAGTTGCTCACTGATGGCCTGGAGGGCCGTTGGGCATTCTTGCCTGCAGAACATGTATGCCGTGTAGATTTGGAACCAATGCAACTTCTTGACCGTATCAGACATCCTCACATGGTGCCGGTAAACGTCGTTGTACAGCGTCTCACCTGCCCGTCCCATCAGGGCAGCAAGCAACGGCTCGTAGTTCATTTGCAGTCTTGCCATGGCCCATGCCGTGTTGGCCACGTTTTGGTCGAGGAAATCTGGCATAAGGCGGATGCTCTCGGCTGCAATGCGATGGAAAGCATCACTGTCCATGCGCTCGCCCATCTTCGCAAACGACCACATCAAGATGCTGCACGCTTGCGCCGAAACAAAGTCGGGTCGTTGCGGTGAGGCGATTCGAGCTGCAACTGATCTGAACATCGATGGGTGACGAAGCCCCACCTTGCTCCCTGCCGCTGCAAAGGCCCAAACTGCGGAATTCAATTCCCGCTCTGCCAGGTCACCCAGCTTTAGCGCTAGGGCGTCCCCCATGGGATCATGACAAACCCGCCACAGGCTCTTGCCATTCTCTATCTTGGCAAGTCCCCATGCTACTACAGCAAGGTCCGAAGCATCCATGTCCATGCAAGGCATGGGGTTCTCGCCTAACCAGTTGGACAAACTCATGATAACATCTGGGTCAGGTAGCATGGCCAACGCTTTCAACATTGCCCGCCAAAGACTTACGCTGTCATCTCGCCATGGAGTGCAGAGAGAGTCTGCACAAAACTCCAACAGGTTGACGTAGTTCCGTTGGCTTCGCAGGAACATCATAGCACCAGCCCGACCTCTAGTGGACCAATTGCAGAATTCTGCGTCGTAGTCGGAGCTCATGCGGGCAATCTGGTAAAAAGCAGTAATGCCATCGAGCCGGTTGAACTGACCAAGCTCCTCTGCAACGACCTGCAAGATATCTTCGATAGAGGTTGCTCCCAGAATGCGGACCTTAATTGGCTTGTCAACCGCGGCCGTGACGTCGGGCACTTCTCCGTAGCTGTTGTGGATGCTGGGGTCTGCGCCCAACTGGCGCAAAACTCGTGTGACGTTCCTGTTCCCACACCAAGCTGCAACGTGCAAAGGCGTGCAGTTGTCACTAGCGCGCTGAACATCCATGTCGAAGCCATACAGCTGAACTAAATGTTTCAACACGCGGACCTTGCCTTGCCAAGCAAGGACATGCAGAATGCCGTGCTTGTGCTTGCTCCCATTATCAACGAACCTCTTCATTGCATCGACGCCGAATTGAACGACCAAGTTTCTGTCAAAGGTTGCGACCATCTTTTCCTCGTCATTCTCACGGAGCCAAGTGATGACTGCCCGCCCGGCTGCTTGGTTTTCCATGTCAGACTCTGGATCGGGTGGCTTGCTACGAGGAGGCAGTGGGAAAACTTGAAGCCAGAATTGGAAAGCCTTGAGAACGTATTAATATACTTTTCGGGCACATGGACACTTACGGAAAGGAGTTTGTGACGTACCCGCGCATCAAATCAAGGACAAGTCTGCATCTCCTGTGCTAGTCTGCATGCAAGCCCGGCGGACATTCCTCCACAAGTTTGAACTCAGCCCAACATGCAAACCCTCGGCCCTTCCCTGACCTCTAAAGGTCGACGCAGAATTAGTAGCTGAAGTGCACATGTATGATCTAAGGGGCCTGGTAGCCACGCTGCAAGCATTGCCGCACGATGTGCGACGCGATGAAACCGGATGCACCGGTTATGCAAACGCAGGCGGGCATCGCTCAAAGGCTTTGGAGCGAGCTCGTGCTGGGCTTTCGTGATGGGTGTGAATGCAATGGTTGGAAATACCTCTTAAATTACGTGAAACCCTGTACAGAAGAACCTACAGTGAAGAACTGCCTTGTTTTTGTGTGCCCTGTGTGTGGTGGGTCAGCAAACGAGACGGTGCTTGCTTTTGTTTTTTAACATGACGTGGCTTTGGGTTTTTATGCTTGTACAGCCAACGCGTAGGGTACTCATGAACTCGGGGTAGGCGAGTGGGCCCGGTACCACGCAGCTGGACCGATGCAGGCAGACGGAACATCTGATCAGCCCCAGGGCGTACCCTTGCAGCACTACCTTTTGTCTCCATTGTAGTTCCTTTTTGGGGGTACCTTATAAAATCCTTCATCTATAATTGGTTAAACCCCCTATATAAACCCTAAACCCCTAAACCCTAAACTCCTATGTAAACCCTAAACCCCTAAACCCCTATATAAACCCCTAAACCCTAAACCCCTAAACCCCTATATAAACCCTAAACCCCTATATAAACCCTAAACCTCTAAACCCTAAACCCCTAAACCCCTATGTAAACCCTAAACCCTAAGCCCAAATGCAACCCTGGGCTTCGGAAAGCTGCTCGAGGCCCTGCCCAGGTCTCAGCAGAGGACGTTCCAGGGGCCGGGGCGATGTCGCTGGGAGTCTCGCTACCTTTCGGAGTTCAAGGTTTCTGTTTAGGGTTTAGGGTTTAGGGTTAGGGATTAGGGTTTAGGGCTTAGGGTTTGGGGATTTGAAGGCTTGGTGGCTGGGATCTGGGATTGAAGAATGATTGAGGGATCTTCTGTAAACGCTTTGTGGGGGGTAGGTGTGCAGGGCTCTGGGGTGGCCTTTTACCATTAAGGACGAAAAGAGCCTTAAAAGGGTTTAGGGTTCAGATACCATATATATATATAGGGGTTCATAGAATAATTGCACAGGGCCCCCTTGTTTTGAAGGTGCTTTTCGTCCTTAAGGTAAACCAGATGACGGAAGCCTGGCAGGCGCTATGTCGACACAACGTCCTCAACCCGGGGCTGTCGTGGTCTGTGCAGGCTGCCGTCTGTTCATGAATCCTTTTTCTGCGGAGTCGTTCGCAGAATGGGAACAATGACCTAGGTTCCTGAGTGACCCCTAAATAATAGGGGCACCCTTTTTCCTAGTATTCGGTTTCAATAAGGGGATTTTCCAAAATAAAAAGGCAAAAGGGTACTACTCAGGAACCTAGCAACGCCTAAACCGTGCACTTCAATAGAACATCGGCCTTGCACACCTTTATCCAGCCTAAACCCCGAAACCCTAAAGCCAACAACATACCCCCCCATGCCCACATCTAGCATTGTATTGAGGGATGCCAAGCTTTCGGCTGACTTCGGCTTATATATAAACTGAAGTGCAAAGATCGAAGCCAGCAGCTAGCCAGGGTCTGAGGGAGTCAAGGTTTGGGGTTTAAGTTTAGAGTTATGGGCTTGCGTTTTAGAGTTTTGGGTGAAGGGTTTAAGGCTTAGGGTTTAGGGTAGGGGTGGGTTGTGAGTTATAGGAATTAAGGTGGAGGCTTCAGGGCTTCAGATCGAAAAGATAGGGTTTAGGGTTTAGGGTTTAGGGCAGAGACGCTTTGTCTAGTTCCACTTGCCAATGCTCGGGGGCTATCGATCCCAGGCCGCTGATCCCTAAACCCCAAACCCCCCAGATCCTGAACACTCAACCGTGGAGCCTAAGCCTCAAACCACACCCTAAGACCCGCGGCCAAAGGCCGCATGAAGAAACGGATATCATCAAAACGGTTTCTGAAACGCCTTTTGCAAGGGGCACACCCTAAACCCCGAATCCTAACACCACCCTTTTGGGAGTGAGCGAACTCCCGCCCAAAGTTGGGCACCTTAAGCACACCTTGCCAAGCCCACCCCCAGAATCCGACTCGAGCATCTCAAGGCCGTTACATGTCAAAGGAAGCAGGGTTCCGGGGTGTGAGTTGTTGGGGTTTAGGGTTTGGGAGTTTGGGGTTTGGGCTTTAAGGTTTCGGGGTTTAGGAGTTTAGGAGGTTTAGGCTTTAGAACGGTGTAGGGGTTTAGGGTTTAGGCGCCTGAACCCAATTTTCTCTCGAATAGAACCTACATAGAGCCCGCGGAGATAGAACCTTCAAAAAGAACTACCCTGCTACAAAGAGCCGAAGCCCTAAACCTCAAACCATGAAAACCCCCAGCCCCACACTCTGCCGTCGGGCTACAGGTTCTTTCGAAGCTCCTGGCATGTGAAAGCCAAGTTTGAGCGGGGAATTATAGGATCCTTAAGGGAGGGTGGCACAAGGGGGGAGGGTCCTAGGGAGCCTTAGGGAACCTAAGGGAGTACCAGGGAGAATGGGGGATTACTGGGCTATTTACCCCCCTTAAGAACCCCCTCCCTTAAGGATTCCATAGGGGAGGGGGGTCGGCGTCGGGTTTAGCGTTTAGGGCCTTACACATCCGCCCTGAATCCTCAGGGGTGGCTACATCGGGCTTCTCAGAACTTCTCACTATTCAAGAGGCCAAGACTAGACCCCTACACCCCTAAACCCTAAAACCCTAAAACCCTAAAACCCTAAACCCAAAAACCTAAACCGAATTCAGGTAATTCCCCAAACCCATAGAGCCGCTCACTCCTAAAGCCATACGGTAAATGCAAAAAAATAACCAGTGTTGCTGAGGGAAGCCATTTAGGGATTAGGGGTTCAGGAGTTTGGGGTTTAGGGTTTCGGGNNNNGGGTTTGGGGGGTTTAGGGGTTTAAGGGTTTAGGGGTTTAGGGTTTTAGGGTTTACGGTTTTAGGGTTTAGGGGTTTATGGGTTTAGGGTCTGCAGATCCTGGACTGCACAAAGCAATGAGAGTTTCTGAAAAGGTGTTTTTTTCGAACTGCTTATGGTTCTGTAAGTAATAACACAGCCGACCCTAACTATCACTTGGGTGCGAGACTCAGCCTAGGCCTAGGCTCTAAAAGTATAGCGCGAGGCGAGAGTGCGGTGAAAGCCCGGAGTGAGTAATTAAGTGCGGGACCGAAGGCGACTGCCACGGTGGGTCGGATACTTAAGTGCTTAGGGGACTGAGTAAGTAAGGTAAGAATCGGGGTTATAAGTGCCCTAAGTGGGGGTATCTTAATGTTATAACTTATATTAACTTATAACATTAAGATACCCCCAATTAGGGCACCTATAGCCCCGATATAACCCTACTTGTCGCCTTTCTCACGAAGTCCCCTGTGGCTTTAAGTACTTCGCCGTCCCCATCTCCGCCGGAAAGCCCGGCAAATCTCTGGGCTCCCGTGTTTAACTGTTTCGCGGGTTACTTGGAGAGTCAGGGGACTTAGTAACTAGCTATATTATAGACTTAAAAGTACCATAACACCAGTTAGGATACCTTTTAGGGTACTTATAACTCTACTTATAACCTACTTACTAAGTCCCCCGACCCTCCAAGTGATGCCGGACGTCGGACCAGAATCCCTGAAGCTCGAGTAGTCTGTGGGTGGATATTCGAGGATGATACAGGGTCTAGGGTTTAGGGTTGGGGGCGCGTACTTCCCCAATAAGCCAGGGAAATGAAAGGTGACACCTTCAGATTACAACTATATTATAAGAACCCTAAACCCTAAACCGTAGAAGCCTCAACGGAACCCTTCAGAGAGGCCGGGTATAGGGGAACTAAAGGTTTGGGGTACAGGGGCAAGCGATTTTACTGGTAATCGCTCAAACCTGTACCCATCAACCCTAAGCAAACCTTCCGTCCACAACCCCCACATAAGCCCTGAACCGAAACTTAAACCCTGAAGTCCTTAGTTAAAGCCCTAAACCTTACCGAAAGCTGCCATAATCTACTTTTTGTGGGTTCTTCTTTTGAGCCATCATTGAGAAATTACGTGGACCCTACTAAAAATAAAAACATGCTTTCAACCCTCCCTAAACCCAAAACCCCAAAACCCTAAAACCAAAGCCCTAAACCCTAAACCCTAAACCCTAACCCAAAGCCCTAAACATTAAACCTTAAGCCCCAAGCCCTGAACCCTAAACCCAAAGCCCTAAGCCCTAAAACCCACAGCCACAAGGCTCCAAGCTCGGCAGGTGGACGCTGCAGGGCAAAGAGACTCGGCCAGCCTGCGCTGCTTCCCTTAAGGTCGGCCTTATCCTAGGGTTTGGGGTTGAGGGTTTAGGGTTTTGGGTTTAGAGTTTAGGGTTTAGGGTTTTGGGTTTAGAGTTTAGGCTTAGGGTTTTGGGTTTTGGGGGGCAGAGTTTAGGGTCTAGGGTTTTGGGATTAGAGTTTAGGGTTTAGGGCATCCCACTTGTCCGGTATCCTAGAGGAACTATAGGCTAGCCTTCGGGATTCAATATGGTCTTATTATAGGCACTACAGTACCACAAAAAGCTTAAACGTTACCACCTCTACTACTAAGGTTACCTACTAACCCTAAACCCTAAACCCTAAACCCTAAACCCTAAACCCTAAACCCTAAACCCTAAACCCTAAACCCTATACTACTAAGGTTACCATTTATAGAGGTCCCACGAGCAGAGGGATGAAGGAACAAGAAGGAAGAAAGGCAGTACAGTTCAGGGGTTTAG